GCCCTTCCTGCCCAGTCGGGCCGAAGGGGCCCGGAGCCCAAACGCTCCATCTAGCCCCTGCCACGGGGAGCCTGTCCAGGGAGCTGTCCCCTCCAGCTCCAGGCTGTGAAGGGGGCTTCAAGAGGGAGGGGGGACCCATGGTGACGGAGACGTGTGTCTCCTAGGAACCGGGCTGAGCCCCGGCAAACTCATCCCTCCTCTCTTGCCCTGCGTTTGCCCCCAGGGTTCCCGCTGGACTGGGGGGAAGGGAGAGTTGGCCCCAAACTCCGTCTTCCACAGCCTCAGCGGAGACACCCAGGCCCAGAGGGGCCCCTCCCAGGGGGAAGCGGAGCGCCCCGCTGTTGCCCCCAAGTTACACCCTTCAAAGGATGTTCCTGGCTGCTGACCCCACCTGCCAGAAGCGGCTTTCGAACGTTTTCTAAAAAGCGTCGGGATAATTGTAAAAAAGCCCCCAAAGGAGCAAAATCCAGAGAGATGGGTGGGGGCGAGGGGGGAGCAGGGAGATCCTGGGGGGCAGGGCTGCAGCTGAGTTTCAGAGCTGAGCCCTGCGGCTAAAGGGCTGGTTTCCAAATGGGGGGGGGCCTCCCTCCCCACCCCTGCTCAGGAGAATGCCACAATCCTGGTTCAAACGGCCACGACCGCAGCGGCCAGAACACTCCAGATTTCGCGGGCTCTGATCCAGCGACGGCTGGCCACAGTCTCTCCCCCCTGCCCCGCAGCTCGCCCCCCCCGCCCCGGCGCCTCAGCTGTGGGGCCCAGGGCGAGCCGGCACCAAGCATGGGCTGGGGCCCAGCCCGGAGGCGTTATCTCTTGCTGCTTCGCCGGGTCTCTTTGCCGTTGCTGACGGGGTTGGAGGAAGAGCCTGACCCGGCTGAGCCCGCGCCCTGGTGGTTCGGCTGGCTCCTGGTGATCCGGCCGCTGGTGGGGTGGGCTGGGCCGCTGGGCGGGCGCGGGGGGCCGCTGGGACCCGGGGCGCCCAGTCCGTTGCTGTTCTGGTTGTCGGCAGCTGAAACCGAAAGCCACAGATTCAACAGGGAAACCCACAACAAAAGCTGGTTCCCAGCCCCCGCTGCTCTCACCACTGCACCCTGCTTCCCTCTCAGAGTGAGGGAGAGAACCCAGGAACTCCCGGCCTCCGCTGGACTCCCCTCGCCTGGCTCAGAGATGGGGGTACAGCCGGCCTGCGGAGCTAGCATGGCCCATGGGGGGCTCCCCTACCTGGAGATGACGCGGAGGGGCCCGGGGTGGTCTGGGAATTCCCAGCCCCCGCTGCTCTCACCACTGCACCCTGCTTCCCTCTCAGAGTGAGGGAGAGAACCCAGGAACTCCCGGCCTCCGCTGGACTCCCCTCGCCTGGCTCAGAGATGGGGGTACAGCCGGCCTGCGGAGCTAGCATGGCCCATGGGGGGCTCCCCTACCTGGAGATGACGCGGAGGGGCCCGGGGTGGTCTGGGAAGCGGCAGGCGTCGCGTTGTCGTTCTGGGCCTGAAGGAAAGGGAAGAGAGAGCTCGTGGGCCCGGATCTCACAGGATCCCAGCCAGCTTCTGGGCAGCAGCCAGCACAGCCACACGTCTCCACCGGACACAAATCCACCCCCCCAGCTCCTCAGGAGCAGGGCCAGCAATGCTCCGATGCCCGCTGGGCATCCCCAGCGCCTGGGTCGAGAGCAGGAAGCCCTGGTGGCTTTGTCCCAGAGCCGCAGCATGTCCGCTGGGCATCCGCAGGTGAGCAAATCCGATGACCCCGCTGGATGGGCCCCCCAGGAGAGACTTTGCCCCCCGCCCTCCAGCTGGGAACTGACTGGTACTCACAGCTTTGCTCTGGGATGGCTGGTTCACGTACTCTGGGTTGGGTTCGCTGAAGTTCGGGACCTCAGAGTAAACCATGCAGAACCTAGGGAGGGAAATAGCAGGTCAACAAGGCCACCAGGACCCTGGCCAACCCCCTCCCTGCTCTAGCACTCAGCCCTATGCCAGGCCAGGGCTGGGAATAGCGCCCCAAGCATGCAGTCTCCCCAGCTCTAACCACCAGACCATGCCACCCTCCCAGGGCTGGGAACAGAACCCAGGAGTCCTGACTCCCCTCCTGATCTAAATGCCAGCCCTTCCTGAGTAAACACCCACAGGGCAAACGGCTCCAGTTTGGGGCTGCCCCGAACATTCTCCCTCCCCAGCCCCGTAAGGAGCCCGGGCCCCAGCGTGACGCTGATGGTCCTTCCTTACTCTCCGATTTTCTGCAGGTCTCCTCCGCGCCCCGTGTAGAGGGTCAGGCAGCCTTTGAAAACTGACGCGTAGCTGAAAGCAAGAGGAATCACAGAATCATAGAATCCTAGAGCTGGAAGAGACCTCAGAAGGTCAAGTCCAGCCCCCTGCCCTAGGCAGGACCAATCCCAACTAAATCAACCCAGGCAGGGCTTCCTCAAGCCGAGACTTAAACACCTCTAGGGATGGAGACTCCACTGCTTCCCTAGGGAACCCATCCCAGCGCTTCACCACCCTCCTAGGGAAATAGTTTTTCCTAATATCCAACCTGGACCTCTCCCACTACAGCTTGAGCCCATCGCTCCTTGTTCTGCATCCGTCACTACTGAGAACAGCCTCTCTCCATCCTCTTTGGAACCTCCCATCAGGTAGTTGAAGGCTGCTCTCAAATCCCAAGTTCTAGGAATGCCAAGCACTAGGGTTAAATTGCACCAGCGGCTGCAGGCCAGAAATTTCACACGGCGCGTGGGTAGAAAACGGGGAGGGCTCCGATTCTCCCGGCCCCGCACTTGGGGAAGGCTCCTTTGTGTTGCCGGTGCTGGCCAGGGTCACCTCCCAGTGTAAGCGAGAGCCACCCCAAGGCTGCTCCGATGTACACTCTGCTTCCTACAACCCTGTGGGCTGGAAGAACCACCCTGAGCTACGCCACCAGGGGGCGCTCGAGCTGTTCTTTCAAGCCGCTCCCAGACAAGCAATAATTATAGTTTGCCATACGCAGGGAGTGGAGATGAGATTTCCTTCATTGAGCATGGCCAGGATTTCTCCGCTGGCTACAGGGACAGCCCAATCCTGCCCCGAAGTCGTGTCCAATTAGCTCGGTGTATGCACATGCGGGAAGGATCTTTTCCAGGGCTTTTTAAAAATATTGTGTTTATGTATTTAAAATAACAAAGAGTCCGGCCCACGCACACAGCCCCTACAATGCAACCTCCATCCACAGGAATTGGGCCTTTTTGCCAGGCAGGGAGCCGTCTCCAGAAAACCCCAGCTCCCCCATCTACAGCCCATCTGCAGAGTGAGCTAATTCGGGCTATCCCGGAGCTATGCCTGATCCTGTAGGAAACCAGAGCTCGTACGTAGCTCAGAGCAGACCAGACCTATTTGCTCAGGCCGGTATCTCCCTCAACAGGTGACCGGGAACGGAGGCTTTGCTGTCACCGAGAACGAAAGCCATGGAGCCGAACAGCCTTAGCCGTGGAGAACTCCAGTGAGCCTCCCACCTGGTCTACCAAACCCTGAATGAGCTTGTCTTGGGAGCGAGCGAGTGCTGGCAGGTGGGAGAGTTAGACTGATGAGCGGGGCATGCAGCCAATGCGATCAGGTCCAGTGGTTCCACCCTCTTCCCGCAGGGTCTCACCTACCCTTTGGTCAATCGGATGATGTCTCCTGGCTGAATGAGGTTCCCTACGTCGTCCCACACAGAGATGTTGATGCTGCCAGTTTTGTCGGCTACTTTGCACGTCCGCACCTCGTGGCCATCCTTGGTCTTGGTCACCCGACCTGCAGGACGGAGCAAAGCCTCGGGTTTGTGGGGCATCTCCATGGCAATACCGAGGTATCTAGAGGTGTGAGCCACTGCGGGCTAGGCAAAGCATTGTACAAAATGGTCCCTGCCTCACAGTCTAAGGGCCCGATCCTACAACCCCGAGCCGAGCCACGGCAGCACAGCTGAGTGAGGCTTGACACGAATTTGGTGTCTCAAAAATGAACACTAAGCAGCAGGGAGAGGAGGTGAAATCTAGCCACACCTGAGAACTGATGGCAACAGTTACACGGAATTTCATAAGCTATTTTCCAGCCCTCTCGCCCGTCATTGGTACCCACCTGTCTCCAGTACTATAAAAATAAGGTTCAAGTTTTTCAAGCCGGGTTTAATGTCCTTCACACAGGTCTCTGTCGTCATACTGAGCAACTTCTGGCTTCCAGCACGTTATCTGGGCAAAGCACAATCAAACGGCGAATTGAAAAGAAAGCGACCCTCAACACAGACCAGAAAAGGCAGGTACTGGCTACTGTAGGCAGGGTGCACTCACATGGACAAATGTGCCAGATCAGAAGCTAAGTGTTTATTATTGAGACGGTGCTCCAAAGATTAGCAAATACTGCTTAGGGGGATGCTGTGTAGGCAGAATGAAACATCCTCCTGGTGATTTATCCCCAAAGGAAAGAATACAAAATGGCAAGTGCATTTGAAGCTTCTTGCAAGAACAGTGCATCTGTATCGTATTTCTGTGCAAATTTCTATCACTGAGTCCAGAGTCCTACAGTAAAATTCCATCCATTTCTTTTTGCACCGATTGTAGCCGTGAGACAGACGGTAGCGGGAAAAACACACTTCTGCACACATGCATTGCAACCCTCATCCGGACCCACATTTCATCCCGCTATTGTGGAAAAATCACCATCCTGCAAATTGGGTCCAATCAGCAAAACTTTTACTGGCTCATTACAATAAAATACCTACACTAAAAACCACCGGGGGCGTCCTTCTTTTTAACCTGCAAACTCAGAACCAGAAACTCAAACCATGGGGATCTGAAACACTAATGAAGTGAGGCTTTTGCCCACGAAAGCTGATGCCCAAATAAATGTATTAGTTGTTAAGATGCCAAAGGACTCCTTGTTGTTTTATCTTTTGTACACATCCCAGCCCTGATTTCACACCACTGCCAAGCAAAATGCCTGTTTCTCTTTGTGTATCAATTGCAACACCTCCCCCTTCAGTCAAACTAATGCAAGAAACGTGCTTTATTTTCCTGGGGTTGGGGGTTAAGGCTAAGTCACCTCAGGGAATCAGATCGTTCACATGCTGGTGGAAATTCCTGCAGGGGGGAGAAAAAAAAGACACGACTGGGGACTGAGAAAATAACAACGAAGCAGCTTAGCAGATGTGCAGGTTCGCTGCGGTGGTGCATGGACCCTGGCTGTTCTGCAACGTGCATGCACCTTGCCCTGCAATGCGCACATGCAAAGGGGTTCCAGTCCTTGCAGCCTCCCTTGCCAAAACTCCGGAGGCTGCTGCTGGAGGGGGGAGAGGGCTGGAGGGGAAATCAGGGGTCCCCTTCCCCCGCCCCCATTTCCCTGTAAAACTGACCTGATGGAACGTTGGGTTGCAGACATTCCAGGAAGTATCCAGCGGCGTTCTGAGCAGCCAATCACAGCGCCCGGACGCCTTTCGACATGCAGGAGAGTGCTACACCGCCAGCCAATTGCACCGCAGGGGGAGGCCTGGCTCTGAGGCATTAAAGGCACAGTAACATCCATTGCACGTGTGTGTCTTTTTTCCAATGGGGAGAGATGCGAGCTTTTCCTGCCTCGCCCCCCATCTGATGGATGTACACTGCACTCGGAGCAGAGGAGCCCAGATTGAATCCCCTGATTTGCCTGGACCATGCACACCCTGGTGCCTGCCTCTTATAAGTTCTGTTAATGTGCACCGACATATGTAGCTCATGCCATGGCCTTGCGGCTGGACACGTATGGATCATGCATGCGGGGGCAGCATGGCTGGCCATGCATTGTTACTGCTGTTCATGATGTGTATTGCCTGGCACCTACATGGTTGGTCATGGAGCAGGGCCTGTTGTATTAGATGGTGTAGAACTGCACAAAAAAAAAAAACCATTCCCAAAGTGGGTATCCACTCATATTTGTCATGTTGTCGGCCCATGACGTAATATATTTTATTGGACCAGACTTGGTGGGTGAGAGAAACTCATGAACCCACGCAGGCCTCTATGCAGAGGTGGTGTAAAAGTACACCTTCCCCCCCCATGATCCCCTAAGTAAGCATGCTCCTGCTGGCCCGAGGAAGGCAGATAGGGTGTAGAGGAGGAACATGCTATAAACAGAGGAAAGTGAGAATTCTTTATCTCATCACATTCAGCTAATTGATTTTTCTAAGGTCATTCTGAATTCTAGATCTTCCCTGATACAAAGGAATGCTATATACCAGGGGTGTCCAAACTTTTTTCAAAGAGGGCCAGATTTGATGAAGTGAACATGCGTGAGGGCCGACCATTTTGCCTGACATTCTTTGAACCATTAAAATTAAATGCAAATTAACTATTTTATGCAAAGTTTATTGCAAACGGCATACTTTTCATTTCGTCACATGGATGACAAATCTAAACAGGTGTTAAATCACTCTGCCTTTCATATCTGAAGGCCAGATGAAAAAAAAATCCAGGAAGCTGAAATATATGTCAGGAACATTGTAAAGTACATTACATATTATTGGTAATAAAGGTTGTCTGTCAACTTTTAAGTTCAAAAAATATGAACAGGAACATAACACCAAGTATACATGTTGTGTCCAAATATATTTATAACTGATTTAGACCAACTGACATTAACTGAGATTTTACAATGTATTCATCTCAATACATATGGATTCGTTGGGGGCCATACAAGATAGATATTGCCAAATTACCTGTGGGGCCGTATTAAACCGGAACACGGGCCGCAATTGGCCCGCAGGCCGGACTTTGGACATGCCTGGTTTAAACCATCTGGCAACCCTAAAGGCAGGAGTGGCACACTGACTGCGCCCGAGCCTCCCTCCTCCACACTCTGGCCCGCCAGGGGAAGGGTGGGGCTGATCTTCCCGCTTACTTTGGGAACCCTGGGGGGCGCATTCACACCCTTGTGGTCCACAGTTACAAAAAAGCACCCCCCCACACACACACAGAAATTTCTGCGTACGGGCCTGGCATGGATGGACTCATGTGGCTCATGCATTCCATCGCGAGGTACCCGCATGGATGTGGATATCCGCGGTTCATTTTTGCAGCTATTGACGCGGATACAAATTTTTTATCTAGACCTCAGCAAATCTGCGGACATCTGCTTTACAGCCGCAGGTATCCGCATCCGCAGATGTCAGTGTGGATAGCCGCAGCTCCGTTTTGGATACAAATTTTGTATCTGCCCATGGCTCTACCAGGAGGAACTAGGGTCAGGGCCGGACAGACACACGCGCACACACACACTGGCTGGGATAGACAAACACCAAGAGGACTATAGCGAGGGACAGACACAGGGAGGACTAGGATTAGGGACAGACAGATACATGGGTTCAAGACAGACAGATGTGGGGAGGACTAAGGGGAGGGACAGACACCAGGAGGACTAGGATCAGGGACAGACTGACACATGGGTTCAGTATAGATAGATGGGGGGAGGACTAAGGGAGGGACAGACAGACACATGGGTTCACGACAGGCAGATGGGGGGAGGACTAAGGGAAGGACAGACAGACACATGGGTTCAGGACAGACAGATGCGGGGAGGACTAAGGGAGGGACAGACAGACACATGGGTTCACGACAGGCAGATGGGGGGAGGACTAAGGGAAGGACAGACAGACACATGGGTTCAGGACAGACAGATGCGGGGAGGACTAAGGGAGGGACAGACAGACACATGGGTTCACGACAGGCAGATGGGGGGAGGACTAAGGGAAGGACAGACAGACACATGGGTTCAGGACAGACAGATGCGGGGAGGACTAAGGGAGGGACAGACAGACACATGGGTTCACGACAGGCAGATGGGGGGAGGACTAAGGGAAGGACAGACAGACACATGGGTTCAGGACAGACAGATGCGGGGAGGACTAAGGGAGGGACAGACAGACACATGGGTTCACGACAGGCAGATGGGGGGAGGACTAAGGGAAGGACAGACAGACACATGGGTTCAGGACAGACAGATGCGGGGAGGACTAAGGGAGGGACAGACAGACACATGGGTTCACGACAGGCAGATGGGGGGAGGACTAAGGGAAGGACAGACAGACACATGGGTTCAGGACAGACAGATGGGGGGAAACTAAGGGGAGGGACAGACACCAGGAGGACTAGGATCAGAGACAGACAGACACATGGGTTCAGGACAGACAGATGGGGGAGGACTAAGGGGAGGGACAGACACCAGGAGGACTAGGATCAGAGACAGACAGACACATGGGTTCAGGACAGACAGATGGGGGAGGACTAAGGGGAGGGACAGACACCAGGAGGACTAGGATCAGAGACAGACAGACACATGGGTTCAGGACAGACAGATGGGGGAGGACTAAGGGGAGGGACAGACACCAGGAGGACTAGGATCAGAGACAGACAGACACATGGGTTCAGGACAGACAGATGGGGGAGGACTAAGGGGAGGGACAGACACCAGGAGGACTAGGATCAGAGACAGACAGACACATGGGTTCAGGACAGACAGATGGGGGAGGACTAAGGGGAGGGACAGACACCAGGAGGACTAGGATCAGAGACAGACAGACACATGGGTTCAGGACAGACAGATGGGGGAGGACTAAGGGGAGGGACAGACACCAGGAGGACTAGGATCAGAGACAGACAGACACATGGGTTCAGGACAGACAGATGGGGGAGGACTAAGGGGAGGGACAGACACCAGGAGGACTAGGATCAGAGACAGACAGACACATGGGTTCAGGACAGACAGATGGGGGAGGACTAAGGGGAGGGACAGACACCAGGAGGACTAGGATCAGAGACAGACAGACACATGGGTTCAGGACAGACAGATGGGGGAGGACTAAGGGGAGGGACAGACACCAGGAGGACTAGGATCAGAGACAGACAGACACATGGGTTCAGGACAGACAGATGGGGGAGGACTAAGGGGAGGGACAGACACCAGGAGGACTAGGATCAGAGACAGACAGACACATGGGTTCAGGACAGACAGATGGGGGAGGACTAAGGGGAGGGACAGACACCAGGAGGACTAGGATCAGAGACAGACAGACACATGGGTTCAGGACAGACAGATGGGGGAGGACTAAGGGGAGGGACAGACACCAGGAGGACTAGGATCAGAGACAGACAGACACATGGGTTCAGGACAGACAGATGGGGGAGGACTAAGGGGAGGGACAGACACCAGGAGGACTAGGATCAGAGACAGACAGACACATGGGTTCAGGACAGACAGATGGGGGAGGACTAAGGGGAGGGACAGACACCAGGAGGACTAGGATCAGAGACAGACAGACACATGGGTTCAGGACAGACAGATGGGGGGGGGGCTGTGGGGAATGGGTGTTTTGGGAGAGAGACTGGGAAGGCAGGTTCTGGCAAGGAGAGTATGGGGAGACTGGGGTGTCTGGCTGAGGGAGGGAGGTTTGGGCTCAGAGACTGGGGCAGGGGCTGAAGGTTGGCAGGGGATGATTTGGGTGGGGGCTGTGAGAGGAGGTGGCCAAGGGCGAGCGGTCTGCTGGGGGGGGCTGTGGAGAGAGGCTGAGAGGGGGCTTTTAGGGAGCTGTGTGGTTATACAGGTTCCACCCAAGTGTTCATTGAAAGCTACAGGGACCCCGTTTGCTCAGGGCAGTGATTGAGACACTTGCTGCCAGAACTTTTTTTTTTCAAGTTTAGTGACTAAGCAAATAAACACGATTTAAAACCCCCAAGATCCCCTCCCCCCCTCGGGTGTCTGTGCCAGGAACCAAGCTCTAATTCATCCTGACAAGCGTCCTCTGACTTTGGTGTCTGGTAATATTTCATACCCACAGCATAAACGTGACCTAGGCTGGTGGAATCTGAGTAACTTGAGGCTGCAGCACTGCCGGGGCTGCTGCTAAATTGTTGCTGAGAAAATGGGGCGAAATACTGTTGTCTGGAGGAATAGGGAGGTTCAGCCTTTGTTATGTTGCACTACAAATGCTTGGTGCCTCTCACAATAAATGCTTTCCTAATAGGCTAGCTTTTAATTGGGTAGGGAATTGTTGCTGCTACGGTGAGTTATTGAAATTTGTAGCCTCTGGTTGCTACTTTATTTCAGGCAGGATTGGGGACCTTTTTTTCTGGACACCCCTAGGAGACCACAGTCTAGAACACAGTGGCATGAAGTGAGGGAATTGATCAAATATATACAGTGTCTATATATGTATTTGATAAGTTATGTATACACTCTCTTAACTGATAAGAGAGAATGCAGGGAACATTTTGCATATTGTTGTTTACTAAGTGCTGTATGAATCTGTTGTCTTCCAAAGTTCAGTTGTTTGCCCAGGCATTTGAGGCAGGGCAGGGAGTACCGGGAAGTGAAGACTAAAGGTGAATGAGGGTCAGTGGTTTATGATGAGAGTTTGTGATGGGTGAGGCTGGGTGTAATTTTATAAAGACAAATAAATGCTGAGATACACAAGCTACAATGCTTTTTTTTTCTTCCAAGAAAAATCCAGTACAGTAGTGACAGATGTGCTTTGTATTGTAGTAGTGAATTTTGTGTGCTAGTACAAGGTGTGATGAGGTAAAATATATATTATTATTATTATTATGTATTGTCACTGTCCCTAGTTGTTTTTAAGTTGTTCTGTGGTAGTTTGAAGTACTATATTTGACCAGATTGCATAGATTCGAAAGTTCCACATTTATCTCTCGGGAAGTACACACTTTTGTCCAGTGTTTCCCTTTCTGCTGTCTGAAATATTTCCAAGACAGCCTTCCTGATCTGAAAATTCCTTGTTAGCTGAAATTGGGTTATGTCCCTACCAAGTATCAATTGTACTGAAAACTTTCCTCAGCCAAAGCTTTACTTTGTCCAAATAACCTAAGAATTGATTCAGACAAGTGAGGTTTGGGCAGCGGGGGGCTGAAATTTCCAGTGTAATTGAAGCAGAGTGGGGAAGTAGCTGGTAATTGGGTTTTTAGTCCCATGCCAGTCACATGTACCCAGCACATGGTACAACACCCAATGGAATGATTATTACCTAAGATGCATAGGAGCATCCAGACCAGAATAAATATTTTGCTACTGAAACAATGCAATGAGCAAACTTTTAACTCTTTGGAGAACAAGGTGGTATTTTTCCAGGTGGCTCGCATGCTTCAGATCTGTGTCATTAAAGAGGATGTATGTCTGTTCCTGCTCAAAGGAGAGGTGGTACCTTTGGCTGAAAAGGCTCAGACTGGTTGTATCACAGGGTTGCAGTCTCGTTAGGCAGGTTTTAAAGGTGTTTTGCAGCAAATGTTTTTTAAGAAATAGCTGTGCATCTGGTGGGGGTGTGTGTGAGGGGGTGGACATACACGTAGCTGCAGGCAAGTGCTTGGTGAAACAGGAGTTCCTGGGTAGAAAATGCTCAGTAGTCTTCCACGTGATGCCAGGAGTGCAGGATGGATGTGTGTGGAGGGGGAGGGGAGCCACACACCTTGCCATCTTTCTGTTTACCTTACTCCTTTTCTTCTCTTGTTCCTAGTCACACATCCAGCCTGTTTGTGACTTCCTGACTGTGGCAACCGAGAAGAATGTTTTAATCCAAACGAGGAGGAGGGGGAAAGATGGGCCACTGGGAGCAGCTCCTTCAAAAGAGCAATCAAAACCCAGTCCTGCATCTTTGCCGTTTCAGGAGGAATTCTGCCACAGAAGGTAAATATTTCAGCTCTAGTCTTCTGCCAGGTCTCGATCAGCCAAAAAAAGCTCCAGACCCCGTATGTGGCAATTCAGACACTGAATCAGCTGCTTCGTTTGTAAAGAACACTGTTGGGGGTGGAAGAGGATAGTCACCCTTTCTATGTGAGCGAAGGGGCTGTAATTGAACTGAAATCACCCGTGTAAAAAACTTTGTATTTGTTCCCGTAACAAGAGATGCAGCTATAAGTGCCAATCTTCCATTGGGAATCTTATGGGCAGACACCCTGTGTCCATGACAATTTCGCTCAGCACAGAGGCCCACCTGCCTAAAACCTAATGCAGAACATGGCCTTTACTCTGTGTACCGTGTCTTTCACTGTTTCTTCTGTCTAGTCGGTTTCCCCCAAGGAGAAATGGTTATTGTTTGGGCTAGGTACTGCCTCGGGGTCAGGCCCAGGCTGTGCTGGGGATTGTACAAACACAGAACAGAGACCTGTAAACTCCACAGGCCCACCAAACCCATTATTCAATTCCAGGGGATAGCTTCAGGTTGAACCCCTCTAGTCGGCACTTGTGGGACTTGGCCATTGCCGACCCAGAGAATTTGCCAAACCACGGGAGGTCCATATTGTCTAGCAGCATTACTAACACTTCCACTGCTTGCTGGGCTCTGAGAAGACATTTGGGGTAAATTAGAGCCAAATAGCAGCCCAGAACTCTGGGAGCCAGGACTGGTGGCTGTCATGTAAACAAACTTTGAGACCATGGAAAACTTAGCCCCATCCATGATAAGTGGACATCTGGAGAACTCAAATCGTGCTGGACCAATGAGTGCCGGACTAGAGACATTCAGCCTGTATTTCAAGGTGGTTCTGTGCAAAACTGGATTCGGGGTGGGGAGTAAATTATTTTGAAAGTCCAGTTGTGTTCCTTCAAGCACTCATTTGACGGGTGGAACTCAAGGTTCTGACTGCATTTTTAAAAAGTAGTCCCTGCCCCTTCCCTGCTAGTGGTTTCGGCTTGATTTCCATAGCAGGGGCTAGAATTTCAGAGTTAAATCATCCCCGTCACATTACTTGATGCTTTTCTAAGGAGGCAGATTCACCATTACTTGCAGTAAAATGTGTCATTGTTTTTAAAAGAATCCAAACAATGAAGCTCATGTTGGAATCCGGAAAGGCCTCCCAGCTGGTAGGAGCGGTGACTGGAGGCCGTTTATAGGTACCAAAACAGAAAAAGAATGGAAAGGTTAGTTGGGCTGCATAGTGTGTGTGTTTGCAATAAATCAGTCAGCTCAATACCAGTTGGCTTCCGCAGCTTACCTAGGTGGCTTCGCAGCAGAAAGCAATAAATGTTTCTCCTGGAGCAGAGCCGTTAGTAGCGTTATGCTGTAGGGACAGACTTGTTCACCTGTACTTCGATGAAACATTTCACTTACCTCCGAGTGCTTAGGAGATAGTCCAAGAAGCGATGACTGTTTTCTCATGATACGTTTTCTATATGGTGATCTAGCCGGGTCACACCCTCAGCTTTCGCTTTGATAGTCCAGAGTGAATGACTCTGAAATCCTAGAACACCAGAACTGGGTGGGACCTTGAGAGGTCATCGAGTCCAGTCCCCTGTAAGGATGTTAAGTAGCAGATCCATGACTGATCGTGGACTCGATACAATTTGTGGCTCTGCAGTTGAAATGTAGGAGGAGCTGGACATGCAGGCAGCTGGGCTCCTGCTACACTTCAACTGCAGAGCTGCAGTGGGGCTGGGACCCAGTGAGAGCCAGGGCTGAAGCAGTCCCAGCTCACGCCGGGTCCGGACCACTGTGGCTCTGCCTTGTAAATATAGTAAGAGCTGCCTGGCTCTTGCTACATTTAAAAGGCAGAGCCATTGTTCCTCTGTCTCCCCTTCCCACCCATCTCCGCACCACAGGATGCCTCCCACCAGCTCCTGTTCCCCCCGCCTTGCTGTCCTTGGTATAGAGGCAGCAAGGTGGGAGGGGGGGGGAAATGTGAGTAGTCGACTTGACTACCCAATAAGCCTAGGGTCATCTGGTAGTCAACTAATCAACTCCTCTTTTGAATCCCTAGTCCCCTGCCCTCCCGGCAGGACCAGGCACCATCTATATCAGTGGTCCCCAACCTTTTGGTGCTGCTGGGCGCCCGGGGGCGGGGCTGCTCACGTGCCGCGCATCCAGGGGGCAGGGCCGCGTATGCGTCGTGCGCAGGGCTGGATTAAGGGGTGGGGCTAGCCCGGCAGATGCCCAGGGTGCCAACCTATGGGGGCGCCTGATGGCAGCTGTAAGGGGTACTGCACGCCCAGGACTGGGTGCCACGCGGCACCCCTTAGAGCTGTCATCAGGCGCTGCACACCTGATTGCAGCTGTAAGGTGCGCAGCGTGCCGGGCCGCGCATGCGCCGTGCGCCCGGGGGCGAAGCCACACATGCATCGCACACCCGCTGCCCAGGGCGCAGGAATGGCTTGAGCCGACCTTGTCACGCTCGGGGCGCAAGAATGGCTTGGGCTGGCCTTGGTCACTCGGTGGGTGCATATAAATGCCCCGGCGGGCGTCATGGCACCTGCAGGCATTGGGGACCATTGATCTATATCATTGTTGATGTCTAGCTAACCTGCTCTTAAATATCTCCAGTGTTGGAGATTCCAGAACCCCCCTAGGCAAGTTATTCCAATGCTTTGTTGCCTTGACAGGTAGGAAGTTTTTCCTAATGTCGGACCTAAACCTCCCTTGCTACAATCTAAGCCCCTTGCTTCTTGTCCTATCCTCAGAGGCCAAGGAGAACAATTTTTCTCCCTTCCTCCTTGTAACACCCTTTTGGATACTTGAAAACTGTCATGTTTATCTGACTGTAAGTCTGAAAAACTCGATTGCAGCCTGAACCCTTGCATCATCACACTGAGAAAGGGCCCATGGTTACTGTGTCTTTGGAATGGTTTTCTTTGCGGTATACGCTCAGTTGAGCCTTTTACCATTATTTCTGTCAATACGATTGTTCCTGCAGTTGGCCAGATGAAGAGGCAAAATAAAATGTGGTGTCCGTATTACAGAATAGCCGTACCCTGTCTAGCACCTGTTAAAAACTAGACCCCTGCTATTTCCTCTGTAGCTAGGTTCTCAGTTGGACTATTGGGAAGGAGACCATATTGTTGCAAACGCTATTTTTGTCCAGTGTCCAATCAGAAGCAATGAGCAATTAGAGGTGGGTTTTGGAACACTCTGTGTATTTAGATTTGCTGGCTCTGATTTGGTAGCTGATAAGAAGTGCTGTTTTGGAGTGATGAGGGGAAAGAATCGTGAACTTGCTTAACTTTGTGGGGGGAAATTGGCTTTCTATGAGCGTGCAGGCAACTGTGCTGTTATGTAAGTGTTTCTAAGGTGACACTTTAAAACGTGGCACGTTGTCTCACACACGTTGTGAAAGCTGAGCGGCCCTGCATTTGTAGCCTTGCCTGCTGCCATGGGAAATGGTGCATTCTGATTATTTAATGGTATGAGACTTGATTTCCCACTGAAGTGCATGTCAGAACATTCATTCCTGGCTCTGGTTCTACCAGTTATCCGTTGCGTGGTCTTTTCCACAGCCCCTCCGGGGCACTGAGACAGGAGCTGTTCTCCACTGTATGTTTGAATAGCACCCAGTGCACAGGGGCCTTGCGTCTGACCGTGGCCTGTGTGGTATTGTTGCTAGAAATGAACACATGGTGCTTTTGCAGCTCTACTAAGCCAGGTTCCGATTACCCTGCAATGTGACTTCTTCTGATGCTCTTCTCCCCTGCCGGCCGACGTGTTGTGGGGTGCCTGCATGCGCCATGCTGCGCTTCTCGAGGAGCATTGCCTAGCCTGGAAAGCGGGTGGCGTGGGCGACTTCTAATGGAAGCTACAGGTCAACGACTCCCATTTGCTTTTAGCACAGCTCTTTATTGGCCAACGCTGCTACCACCCGCGTTTGTCAGTGCCTCCATGTGAAATGAGTTGGCTCTTGGGACAGCTCTCTGCACTAGGGATGTGATCATGCCATTGCTTAACCAATAAGCAAAAGCGTATAGGTTAATGCTATAGACTACACTCTCACGCACACTCACACACAATGCCAATACATTTTTTAGCATTCTGGCCAGCAGCCCGGCTCAGTCCTGGCTTGCGCTGGGTCCGGTACCTACCCCTGCTGCAGCTCTGCAGCTCGGGCAGGCAGCTTGGCTCCGTTGCAGCTTGCGCTGGGTCTGGTAGCTCAGCCTTCCCCGAACAGGGGCTGCTGCCACCCCGCACTGCTGCCTCTGTATCAGCAGCATGAGGCGACACACAGCCAGTCCATGAGGGGAGCGGGGTTTTAAACCCGCTCTCCCACTGCTGCCTCTGATACAGAGGCAGCAGCATGGGGTCACAAGGGGCTCCTTGGGAGTGGAGCCGGAGCACACTGGCTGCCGGCCCCACCCCCAGGGACTATAGAAGAGTCGACTAACCAATAAGAATTCATGAGGTTAATCGACTATTCCATTAACCGATATTTAACATCCCTACTCTGTTTTCTTACATGTGCCAGTAATTAGCCCATAATGAAGCAGCATCAGAGAGGAGAAAGTTAAATGGGACCTGGAGGCTGAGTTCTTCTCCCCCTCCCTTAGGTGGGGATCCATGCCGTGCTAGATACCGCCAGCCTGTCAGTCAATGCCCAGTGCTAAGTCTATGTTTTAACAAAAGCCCCTGCGGAAGCTGTCCGGGCTGGAGTCTGGGCTCTTGTCAGAAGCGTTCAGTCCTGTGGGTGTACTGAAGGCCCATTTTGGGGACATTTGGGGCACTTTCTCAGGAGCAGTCAGTTGGATCCTGAGTAAGTGAAGTGCTCGGGCTGCAGAAACACAGCGATAATGATCCCTGTTGCTGACAGGAGGCAGCACCGGGTGTTTAATGCCCAAACACCCTGATTAAGCATGTTTTCCCACTCAAGCAGAAATGCTTTATGGGTAAGTACCTTTGGGTGCCTTAAATCTTTCGTACAAGGGCAGCC